CGCATTTGTCAGCTGAGAGATAAAAAACATCAGCCCAAGGACCATCACGAAGAAAATCACGAAAGGAATTCCAGTCAGCTTTAGGGTAGTAGTAGGTGGTTCGATGATAAGGTGAGCCCAAAAAAGAAGTACGAGAAGAAAGATTTATAGAGATCATTGCATGGTCAGAACCACCTAAAGGAGAAAAGGGAGAAACTGAACATAAGCTAGGGTCAGAGACAAGACATAAGTCAAGGAGTGAAGGTAAATGATTAGGGTTGTCAGGAAAACGAGTCACAAAGTTAACTATCTGAGTTAGAGATTGAGAAACGCAGAAGTTAAAGGCTTTAGTGCCAGCAGGATCAGTGGTGTTAGAGCCAAGCCATTCAGTGTGATGGGCATTAAAATCACCAACAACAACAATATTGGCAGAGGGGTAAAGAGAGAGGGCATGGTCAATTTGATCAGAGATAACATCTAAGAGAGTGCAATCATGGGAAGAAGGAAAACGATAAAGAACAAAGAGAAAGGTGATAGAGTGAAGAGGTGCTAGGCGAAAGCACATAAAAGAATGGTCAAAGGATTCGAACCTGATTTCACGACAAATAGGGGAATTAATGCGTATGTATACCCCTAAACCTAGCATGTGACTATTGGAGTCTTTACGAATCAAAGGATAGTACCCATCAACAGTGACATCTGAAGAAGGAATTGCAGAATTTAAATTTGTTTCACTGAGTGCAAGCAAGTCTGGTGAATTTTGCAGGAGGTAAGACTCAGCTGATGGAAAGTTGCTTCGTAGACCGCGAATATTTGTAAAAGATATATTAAAATATTTAGGTAGTGGGGATAGTTTTTTAGGTTTTAAATTTTTGGTTACTTTGGTTATGATTTGGGTTTAAGGAGAACTTGACTCATTCATAGATAGAGCACAGCCTCCTAATCAATGAGCTATGCAGTTGTCTCAGTCCTGTTAATTAACCTTAAGCCGTGACATAGGGCTCCTTATGTGGCCTTGACAATGCACACCAAAAGCATTAACAGGGACACCATCTATGCACAACATGGCACTGTTAATACTCTGATATTTTGCAGCTGTTGATGGAATCAGCCTCTCTGAGAGCTACCACAGAGTTCGGGAAACCTTACTACCAGCCGGCCTCAGAACCATTAAACTGAGTTTTAGAGCTGTACCCTCATATGGAGATAACAGGAAGAGTTGCATAGCCATTATCAAGGAGGCATAAGCAAAATTCTACGAGTAGAGTCAAGGAGATCCAGCATTCATCATCTTAGGCAGGAAACAATGTAACACAGGTTACATCTACGCCAGCCTAATAGATGAAGAAGGGGTTTGAGGCTGGTTAGCAGAATTTTTCTGTTCTCTTTAAAACCTTTAAATTCTTTCTTTAAAAATTTTAAATTCTTTAAAAACTTTAAATTCTTTTTTTAAAAACTTTAAAAACTTCAAATTCTTTCTTTAAAAACTTTAAATTCTTTCTTTAAAAACTTTAAATTCTTTCTGTTCTCTTTAAAACCTAACTAACGACTAATTTTTCACCCTGTTTATTAGGAGTAGGTTTAGAAGAAAAAAATAAAACTGAACCGTCGAACACAAAAAACAACTTTACAACAAAAAAAATAATTTTGCAATACATTATTTAAGTTCTTCTAATACAACAACATAAATAAGAAATATTTATGTTTAATATTACTGATTTTATGAAATGCATATACTTAATTTATGAAATGCAATTGTAGATCTTTAAAGTTTAAATTTTTTTAAATTTAAAATCTTTAAGGTGTACTTTGTTTAAAATGATGTAACTCGACATGTCCAGAGAACTCTCTCATTTTTAAGAAGACAAATTTCAATCGAATTCTGATGCAGAAAACTCTTTCTTATTTTTTGATGACTGAATTCTGGTTTTTACAGAACACAAATAAGCTATTTAATTATAATGTGGTTTGAAATTAAATGTGCATTTTTTTAACAGTTGTTTCAATATAATTCAATAGGATTTAGTATGCTTACATAAGTTTTCAATACAACCCAAAAAAACCCACTCTAAAAAAACCAAAAAAAAACACCTAATATAACTATTAATATTAGGTGTTATTTTTGGTTTTTTAGAGTGGGTTTATTATATATATCACCTATTAACTTCAGACTTATCAGTTGTAAAATATTATTATAATATTTTACAACTGATAAGTCTGATTTTTTTCTTATTAATGCTTCATTCTTAACAAATTGCAACTGTTATACTGTAAATACTCATGTATACACTGTTTTTCAACCCTCGGAGTTAGGGTCGGCATTCGGCAATGCCGACCTAAACGTGTTTGCGGTCGACAAAAAAAATTTGGTTTTGCTGACCTCGTTTCGATATTTTATGGTAAGACCCTTGTATTTGCCGACCTGATGCCGATCTCTAAAAGATTGAGGTCAGCAAATTATTGCTGACCTCAATTTTCCTAATTCCGAGGGTTGGTTTTTATACAAAATGGTATTTAGAATATAATTTTTAGTTTGAACTCCTTTCAGAGTAATCCAAAATCCAATCAATTACTATTTGTAGCAAGTTGGTAGTTTATTAATTTTTAAATGTTTATAAAGGAAATAAAAATCATTCTACTAAGTTTCAAAGTACAAGAGGTTACTAGTTATTTAATATCTTTTCTCTCAAATGCCTATATGTCCAAATAAGTGTTTTGGGTTTGTCATTTTATATTGGTATTTGTTATTTATTTTCTAAAGTTTATGTTTTAAACTGCAAAATTCAGTACAAGGCCACAAGCGTGGCGTTATATATAAAAGTTGTTACATTTTATTTATAGCCTGAAAATGGAAAGTTGTCAGGTAAAAAAATGATACTACAGTTTACAAGACTGTGGACTTGTCCTTGTGAAGTGCATATTGCCTTAAAACATTAAATACATATGTTATGTGCATGCAAGTTTACAACAGTTTTGCTCATTCAATGAGAGAACATGTTAAAAAATTGTATGCACTTACCAAGGACAGGTTTGTTGGTAAAAAACTCATGCTCATCTGTTTATTCTTCAGGTTTAAAATTTTTTATATCAGTTACAAGTTTTACTGTCAACGGGGGTGAGTATGAAAAGCAGGGTGAAAATGGCATCAGTACTAAGTTTACTATAAGGTGAAGAAACAGACACAATAGAGATATATCTTGTGTTAATTTGATTCAGTTGCTTTAAATATACTATATATAAGTAATAGCTAATTTTTAGCTGCGCAAACATTTTGCTTTTTTCAGGTTTTCTCTATTAGATATAAACAGCAACATTAAGAACTATGTAATTCACCTTTCCATTTCTCCAGTCTCCACATATCGAGAATACTTTTAATAAAATGAGCTCCCTTGGCTGTGCAAATGAGCTCATTTTATTAAAAAAATTCTTTTTTATTAAAAATATTCTGAATATATGAAATAAAAAAAACTACAATACACTTACTTAATTACAAGCCAAAAGAAAGATTAGAATGCTTTGTAACAACTCAAGCAAGATGCCTTTAGGACAAAGTACTATGAAACAAGACTGATGTACTTTAATTAAGGTCTCTTGTCATAAGATGCAGCTGAAATGTAATAGAACAACTAAATAGTTTAACCACTGAAAAATTAATAGTATTAATTACTAGAGGTAACAAATCACCATAAAAGTTGCTAAACATCAAGTTCAGGTACATATTGTTCTAACAAAATCAAAATGGTATAGCTTGTCTATTTGTCTTTGCTTATTTAAAATGACCTTTTTTTATTAAGAATTTGAGTTTTTTTCACTAATATTAGGAAATTTTCCTCAAAATTACAAAAAAAAAAAGGAAAAAATCCAGTGATACAAAACAAGCCACACTCAAGTAGACCTAGTACCAACTGTAAATAAAGTGAAAAACCATGGATCTAACATAAGGAAGGCTGCTAAAACTTATTTCATATTTGTATTTGTAATTGTACTTTTTTTATGTAGGAATACTACATTAACAGGTGCAGTTACAAATACAAATACAAGGGGTCATGAAAAATAAATTTCCTTGTTACACAATAAAAATATCAAAGAAATTGGACTTATTAATATCAAATAGAATAGTTAGTAATGACATTTTAGTTTAAACCAATGCACTATTGAATCAAAGAAAATTAAAAATTTCAAAATATATCAAAGCAAAATATAGTTTTAGCATAAATTGGCTGTTAAATTCTAGTTTTCCTCAACTCCAGACCTTTTGTAAACATTATTAAAATATTATTAAAAAGTTATTTGATAAAAGTTCAAAAATTTATGTAATTTCAATTTTGATTTTTGGAGTTTTTATTTCAGACTTAGAGGAATAGGGTTTTATTTATTTTTGTTTGTTATATGCAATAAAAAAACAAAAAACCTCATTAAATTTCTGGAAATACCTTTTTAGATTTTATTAATTAATGTACAAATACAATTGATTAAAATATAATTGATGATTAAAATACTATTGTTCAGATAAAGTTAGAAAAGTTGTTAGTTTTAAAGTAAAGAAAAACTCAAATGGGTATTGGAAACAACATGATGCTAAACCCTTCAGCACTGTTGATAACAGCTTTTCTGATCAGAACCTGGTTAATAATTAAAAGCAATTCTTTCAGCATTTGTCCTAATCATAGTCTATCTTAATAAAAAGTCACCATTTCTTTTCCCTGACTAGTTGCAGTAAAGCTTTCTTTGATAGCTATTACGTATCTTATTTATATTATTAGAAATCTGTTCCTAAACTTGACTAAATTAATCTGTTCCTAAATAAACTCAATTTATTTTTGTAAGTGTTAAATCAATTTCTCAAGGTTCTTTTTAAAAACTATGCATAAATAAACATAGACAATCATGTGTGCCACAAAAATACTTAGAGCTGTTTGTTCATTTTTCTATTATAACCAGCCACTTTGATTCATCTTTCTATTACCATCTATTACCATTTGAAACCACAATCTTGCATTGCAAGTAAAAAGCTTTTGATTGGGAGAATTACTTTTTGATAATGTATTTTAAAAATATATGTATGTGTTTAAATCAGCTGGTGTTAGTCAATTGAGGATTTTTTTAAAAACTGATTTACCAAAGTGAAGAGAGCTGCTGAAGGCGAGAAAGCTACTCACTTTTTTTAAACTGTTGTTACAACACTTGCTCTACTCTTTAACTCCAAAGTACAAAGCTTGGAAAACAAGGCTGTTGTGCAAGACTCTAAAATCTAAAAAAATCTAAATTTCAAACAAACAAAAGAAGTAGGCCCCTTCTGGAATTAAGGCAAAGCTACAAACAAGAGTGAAAGTGTTATACAGCTACTGTCTCCAACTTATGAATTTGAACAGACAATTTTGAAGATTTTATTTTACAGGTTGCTGCTAAAGGACAGTGTAAATATTTTGTCTGCAAAAAAATTTTTCATAAAAAGTATGAAAAATGAATTTTATCTGACTATTAGTTCTAACTGCTATGAGCATTTTTATCACCCATGAAGTGTTCATTTTTCTAAGTGCCTAGATGTAAAATTGTTTATAGCTTTTATTTTGTGTATATATATATATATATATATATATATATATATATATATATATATATATATATATATATATATATATATATACTATTATGTTTTTCTTATTATTTTCTATTACAAACCTTTTGAGTTTGACAAAGTTTACTAAACTGATATTAGTTTTTGGTTTATAGGTTTTGTAAATCAATTCGATCTTGAAAATGCAACTTACTTTGATACTCAAGACATTCCGTACGATATACATAGCATCATGCATTATCAAAAGTAAGTTGTTTATTTTTATCAGTGATAATGATATTTATGAATAATGTATAAATAAATTTAACAATAGGTCGAAATATTTTGTTTTATCTTAATTTTAGTAAACAGATTCAGATTTGGTTTTTTAGCTTCTTTTTTTACTACATTTTTAGAGTCTTGCACAACAGCCTCGTTTTCATATTTTTTGTTTTTTAACAATGTACTCTTAAAAATTTAATTAAAAACTTACAAAGTATAACAAGATGTTATAGTATTAAAAAAGTAAATTATGAAACTTCTTAAATACAATAAAATATGTTTTATTTTTTTTATTGGGTCAAACTTTTAAAATATACCATCTACTTCTTCCACGATTACTGCCCTATTTTAAAATATTTTTTGTTATTAAATGTTTTGATAAAGAGTTTTGTATATAGTTTATATATGTTATAGTCTTATATATTTAATATTTCGCTTCATTGTCTATTAAAAGAGCACAAATGTACAGCATTTCATGAAGTTTTTTTTAATTCGTGTTGAATATTAGTGAAATTTTTTTGTGATTTTAGCTTTGCTTTTTCGAAATTTATCAATTCATCAACAAATATAGTTGCTTTTGAAAAAGATTTCATGACCATGTATGCATTAGCCGATTACACTTTACCTCTCGGCAATAATTACGGTCTGACTCCGAGTGACGTTAAAAGAATTAGTCTTCAATATAACTGTAGTATACCTTTACAGAGCACAATGACACCCTCTATTGAAATTCCAGTATCAACTTCTACAAGTCCTCTATCTACTGCAATTCTTACACCTATTACACCTTCAATTTCAGTATCAGTGTCATTGGAAACCAATGTGTATCAAAGTTCGACATTAAATCCGACGTCAAAAACTCCGACTGCAGCAGTGGCGCCTAATCACTCTGGATTTTTGAAACCGAATGTTTTTATTTATTTAATTTTTCTAATCATTTTTATCTGTTTCTAATTGTCTGATGTACCTGCTGATGTACCTTTGTAATTGCCCTAAATTTTTTTGAATGGCTTAAATAAATTTTCAATATTTTAACTGTTCCGTTTTTATATCTATTGTTTTATAATTTTTTTTTGATAAACAAAGGCATTAGTCGTTTTTTTTTTTTTTTTTTGAAATTTTTATTGACATTTTGTTAGTTAATTTACCATTAATTGAACTTTTAAATTTAATTTTTAAGGCTGAAAATATTAGGAATGACAAATAAATTAATTATGAAAGATTAAAGATTGTATTCATTTTTATAGATGCGATAAAAATACCTTTAAATGGTTAAATTATATTCATAAAATATTTGCATGATATTTGTTTTATTTGTTTTGTAATAAATAAAACTCACATAAATTTTTATTATCATTTTTACTTATCTTTGCACCAAAGACTTTTTTTTAAAAAAGAAACATTTTTGTTGATTCTGAAACGTTTTGATAGATTTGCGTCCTTTTCGAGTTGATGGGTTCAATTAAGAATTTAATTTAACCTGTCAATTGAATAGCGTCTTGTCAGAATCTTAACGTGCATTTGAATTACTTAAACCTTATAAAGTTGTTAGTCCTAATAATATAAATAGTAAAATAGCTATAAATAGTTATAATTTAGTTATAAATTTCATTATATAAAATACTCTCAGGAGTCGTCCACAAGTTTTGTAATGCAATTAGGGGTTAAGGGGAAAGATTTTACGACTTAGTGATGATTTGTTAAACAGGGGGAAGGGAAAAGTATTTGATTTCGTAAGGCACCAGCTGATTAGATTTTTTTTTTAGTTTTATATCTAGAAAAAACTTTCTTTTAATTGAAAAAGTTTGTACATCGACAATCTTCAGTCAATGTATGTATGCTCTACTGCGAACATAAGTTATTATGTGAAAGAAATTAGTTAAAATCATTAGCAATCACAGTTGTCATTAGATTGAATACTTAAATAGATAATTAACATGCTTTACAAAGAAACAGTTTTATTTTTGTCATATTTTTCAAAAATAATGAATAAATATAATGAATTTTTAAAATTTTTTCCAAAGTTATTATTATACAAAATTTATAAAGTTTAAACAAAAATCTTTGAAAAACAACGAATTTTAACCTTTAAAAGCCTAAAATTTTACAACTGATCGAAACTAGAATACTCAAAAAAAAAAACTTTTTTTTATGACATTTTGACACAGGTAATTTTGTTTATACTATCCTGAGCTAACACAAAGTTTATTCCACATATAAACTTTGTGTTAAAAAATGTAAACCCTCTTTTGGGGTTTATGTTTTTTTTTCCTTATTTGTACACATTTTTTTGTCATTGTACAACTGTATAAAAATGAGAATAATAAATAATAGTAATAACATAAATAATAATAACATAACAATAAATAATAATAACATAAACAATAATAACATAAATAATAATAATAATAACAACTACTTTTTACAAATTTAAAATGAAAAAAAAATATAAACAAGGTAACTGAAAGATGATCACGAAGATCTTCTTGTCAGAACCTTAAAAAAGCCGTTTTTTAAAACGCAGTAATAAACTATTTAAAACCCAGCAAACATTATCTGAGTGGATTTACAGTGGACCTATGTAGACATTTTTTAGCGGTTCATTAAAGTTTTGCTTATCGGTTATTTAGGGGACCATTAGTGACAGCTGCTATAAATAGCAAGCCGATAATTAATAATAATTTTCCGATATGTTGATAAGAGCTAGCCACTTGTGGCGGCTGCTACTAATAGTCCGCTCAAAATGTCTATATAGATCCACTAAAATTCCCCTGGGAATGCTGGGAATGAAAAGATAAAATAAACAAATAAACTTCTGACAATTATGAAAGATATTTTATTAAGTATGTAGACGAGAATGAGAAGTTGTAGCCTGGAGTCCAGGAGTTCTTATTTTTACCCGGAGTATAGAATCTTGCCCGTCATAAAAATTGTTGGGACTCAGAGACTTCGGGATTTTTTGAATTTTATATCAACATATGAACGATTGCTAACTAACCCTTATTAACTTCTATAAGTTTATGAATTTAAATTTGTTTCGTCAACAGTTGCGTAACTTTAAACCAGTAAAATCACAAACCCATTGAATAACGCTGCGTATGACAACCCCTCTAGCACAAAAATTATTCAAAAATGTGCAGCGTGTTTATGCCATACATTACTTATAGCAGACATTGCTTTTAAAGAATATAAGTAACGAATGTAGTACACAAAACCTTTTATGTACACTGATTGGTAGATGCCGAATTATGCTTATTTTTATTATTATTATTATTTTTTTATTATTATTTATTTATTTTGCCGTTGATAAATAATACAAAAAAGAAATTACAATAAAAGAAAATCCTGGCCGGAGCAAGAAGAAGACAGGTTGTCTTATCACCGAGCCCCGTCACACAAAAGTTTACATGCACAATAAATGATAAAAGACAAAAAGACAGTATAAATACAAAAACAAAAACAAAACGAAAACTTCAGCAATAAAATAATTTGTTGCCAACAATCTTCCAGCAGAACAATATTAAAAATAAGAAAGTAAAAACGACAGAAAATCATGAAAGTTATAAAAACACACACACAAAAAAAAAATGCGTTGTTTAATTAAAAAAAAAAAAGAAGCCATATATGTAAACACAAGTATTTGGGCTCATTATTTAATACCATCAAAAATATGAACGAAAAAGACAATTTTATTTTCGTTATCTTTTATACTAATGGTTTGAAACCATTTTAATTAAAGCTAAAGAAAGTGATAAAGATTTAATTTATTTTTAAGTGATTTAGTTTAAACCTTTAAATTGTTTTCAAAAAAGGTATTTGAAATCTAATATATCAAATTCCATGTTCAGTAAATGCCGTTTTGAATCATCCTTAAAACTTTGCAAAGTGCAGTTTAAAACGAAGTTTTGTTTTTTATTAAAGATTGGAAGAAATTTTTTCCAAACTAAAGGTCCCCGATATTGAATTTGGTACGAACTTAATTTAAGAAGGTTTATGGGAACCACAAAGTTATTCACTGAAAATTTGGTTCGATATTTATGGGAGATTTCATTAAAGTAGGATTGAAATGTTACTGGAGAAAACCCAAGTTTTGCAATAAACATAAATAACATTACTTGATGAATATTAAGCTTATAAATATTTAAAGCTCCAAGCTGACGTAAGAGAGGTTCACATTGTGTTTTTCTATTTGCCCCAAATACTATCCTGCAAGCATGTTTTTGTTTATTGTAAATTATTTTGAGTTTAGGCTAGGGTTGTCATTATCCCGGTTTTTCAGTTGAAGAACTTTTAGCTTCAGTAGAAAAATTCTTACATATGATAGAAAAGCGCTAAACCGCCGCAAACATTTACATATATAAACCTAGTAATTTTTACATATGTAAACCAATTGAAGTCTTTTAAACGTGTCTGAGAACGTCGAAGGATAAAATTTCTAATATTTTTTGAGTTACTATAATTTATCATTTAAAATAAATTTGGTTTAAATAAAATTTGGTTTAAATTAGGATTGGTGTAAATACGCGTTTAGTTTACGAGTTATTATAATAACTATTTTAATAAAAATTTTTATGTCGGTTATCTAACTAATTATGTAGGGGAGAGGGGGGAGAAGTGGGACACGTAAATTTATTTTCAAGGTAATTGCAACATCTTTTTTATTTGATGCATAAACTGAACTAAACAAATTTTTACGAGTAAAACTTCTTTTTAGGTACCGATTCAATTCCCTTAGGTTTCTAGCCAATCATAACAAAGTATATAAATTTTTGCTTTTAGAGAAACCGTGCCATTTGGGTAAAGTGGAACAAGTGTAAGTAGATGTGGGACAAATAAATTTAAAACAACATTTTAACACAAAATATAAATAGAAACTGATAAAATCATAAAATCACTTAATCGACATAAAAATGTTCAAGAGCTTACACCAATCAAAAATAGTCAAATGGCGACGGGAAGAAGCTGGGCATAAATATTTTTTTCTGCGCCACTTCACTCCAATGTAAACACTTTTGGGCATAAATTTATAAAAATATTTAAAACAAAAAAAGATAATCAAAATTCCTTGAAAACAAAGTTAAAAATCCTGATACTGAAATTAAACAAATACTATGAATTTTTCTAACAGACTTTAAATTAAATTACATATATATCAACTACATAGTGAACCGACTCGTTTATGTGTATTATCTAAATGACTCTCACCTTTCTCAAACAATACATAAAAAAAATTTGTTTATTTCACGGAAAAAAAACAAAAAACACGTGACTTAATTTTCTTAACAAATTTAGTTATTATGCTGCATCTTGTTATGTTTAATTTTTATCTTGAGCTTATTTTAATTTAAAAAACATCAAAATATACTTAATATATAATTATATTTAACATAATCATAATATATGCCAATCACATTGTAAGGGCTTTGTGATAAGATCATTACGATCTTCTTGATCTTCTTGCCCTTACTGTTTAATTATAAATTCTTTTAATTTTACAAAATTTGTAAATGTTATATGTAAGACAAACATAAGAAAAAAAAAAAAAAAAAAAAAAAAAAAAAACGAAAAACCTAAGTCAATGTAGTGGCACTTGCGGCACTAATGGCATATGATTTGTTATATAAAATGATGACAACGAAGTTATAAACATTTATAATTCAATTTTTAAGCTATATCTTTAAAAAGTTCTAGTTTTCTATTATTTAAATAATATTTTTGTATTGAAAAAACTACAAATTAAATTAAAAATGATAAAAAAAACTAAAATGACAATAATAATTGGGGTAAAAAGGCAAAAAAGGACTTAACAATGGTACAAAGATAACTCTATTTTGCATAGTCCGATTGCTATCAAATTTTGCAGCAAGCATTCATATATGGGTGTTTACAAAATATACCAAATAAGTGAAAAGAAAAACATTATTTAAAGTTTTATGGTATTTATTTAAAAGTGTATGAATTTCATAATGAAAAAATAGACCTAACTATCAATAGCTGCCTTTGCAGATTAATGCTGATTTTGGTACATTTTGTTGACACTAGTGTATTCAACATATTGTGCAAAGTTAAGTTTAAAACCAAGTTTAAAAATGTAGATTCAGAGAACACGATCATTTAAAATTTTGTATAAAAATACAAATAACTTTGCGTTATACAAAACTAATGAGATCCAGGTACGTTACGTAATGTAAACAAGAAGTATTTAAGCAGTTAGAAGGAGAAGAAGACACAATAAGATAGCTTAAAAAAAGAAGAGAAGCTCGAACAGCGGAAAACTTTTTTTTCGTAAAAAATATTTTTACAAAAAATTTTGATTTTTTTTTGTTTTAAAACAAAAATGGCTAAATTGAGTGTAAAATTCAAATTCCTCGATAAATTATTCATACGAATTAATAAAAAAAAATATTTTTTTTTAGAAAATAATTTTTTTTTTTTTTTTATTAATTCGTCAAAAAAAAGGGGATCTCCTTAATGAAACTAAAAATGACTTAAAACGCCATTTAGCCATTTTTGTTTTAATACTGGAAAACAAAAAACGTGCTCAAGTTTTTTTTGCCACACATGCCTAAAATTGATAACAAAATTTTATATGTACCAGAAATTATAGTTCATGTGTTTAATAAATATTTTGTTGAAATTGTTCCAACTCTATCAGATAAAATACTAATTACCGAAACTTGACTTTTTAGTACCTCTTGACAAAGACAATGGCTCCGATGAATTCTCGTCCAAAATATCCAATTCAAGAAATTCAAGAAAGCTTTTAAATTAAAAAAGTTAAAAAATAAAGCAACTGGAACTGAGTAGATAAAGTTATAGGTTGTTATGGACAAACTAAAAATACTGTTTTTAAAATTTTCATAGCATTCATTCATAATGGAACTTGCCCTGAGTGTTTAAAAATTACCCAAATTATCCCAATCCATAAAGAAGGCGACAGATCCAACAACAATATTCACAGCCCCATCTCCATACTATCTATATTTCCTTAAAAAAAAAAATTATTTTCAACAGAGTCAATAATCATCTCATTCACAACAACCCACTATACAACAATTTTCAAAAAATATTCAACCGAGCATGCCATTATTCAACTTATACGCAACATCTCCAAATCCTTTGGAGATGTTGCGTATAAGTTGAATAATGGCATGCTCAGTTGAATATTTTTCAAAATCTCAATATACATTGGGTATTTTTATAGACCTATCAAAAGCATTTGATATGGTAGACCATATAACTTTAATACAGAAAATGAAGTATTGCGATTTATACTATAATATTTAAGCGTGGTTTAAAAATTTAATAAATCGTAAGCAAGTAGTGTATAGTAATAATGGCATAACCTGTGGTGTTCCACAAGGTTCGATTCTTGGACCGCTGCTATTTCTAATGTAAAAGATCATGTAAGCATTAAAGTTTCTAAAAATGTTGGCATTTTGTATAAAGGCCAACCTTACTTGCACAAAAAAAGCGTTTCACAGTTCTATTACTAACTTATACACAGCTATACAAATTACAAAAATATTGCAAGGGGTATGGTACCAAAAATAGTAAACTACAACGTCTATATCGTCGTCAAAAACATGCGATTCGCGTAATTAATTATGTCGATCGCTCTTCACATTTAAAACTTTTCTTTGATGAAATTAAAATACTTAATGAGACTACAAATTTAACGTATTTAATGTTTTTTGTTTTACTTTTACGTGGAAAAACACTTTATCTCTACCTGTTTTTAACGACCTTTTTACGTTGAAACTTTCTAATAAGTACTCACTAAGAAATAATAATTAGCTAAATATAGAACAAAATTTAATAATTTTTCTATTAAATACTGCGCACCTTACCTTCGGAATAATATAGTTTTAATTTGTATTTCTGTTTTAAAAAATGAATTAAACGATTTTATTCTTGTTATGAATGACATTTTTTGTTAATATTAATTTGAAAGAAACCCTGATTTATGAAATTAATATTAATATTTATATTAATAGGTTTATTTTCTATAACTTATAACAGATTTATAAAATTTATTATAACAATTTATCATTTTGGATTATTATAGATTTATTATTACAGATTTGTGATTATTATTATTATTATTATTATTATTATTATTATTATTATTATTATTATTATTACTACATATACATGATTATGGGTTTATTATTACAAATTTATTATTATGGTCATTCTTTAGATTTTCAGTTTTTAAAGTACGATTTATTGTACTATAGTATGATTTACTGTACTATTTTGTACAGTAAATCATACTATAGTACAATAGTACTATAGTATGATTATACTATAGTATGATTATATTATAATAAGTTCAACTTATTGAAATAGTTCAATAAGTTGAACTATTTTTTTTTTTATAAGTATAAACTAGTTATGTATTCATCGACAGATTTCAAATTTTATGTTCAAATTGTTGAGAGTTCAGGTTTTATAACCATGTAAAGAGTGACCCCCTCAATTTGAGAAAGTCAAAAGACATACGTAAAAAAGACGTTCAAAAGACGTCTTTTTTACACTGGGTACTGGTTTTAGTTCAGTCTCAAGCTCTGATTTGTACTAAACTACAATAAACTAATTAAAAATTAAAAGCCATAAACAACTTTATTAATAAAGATACATTTAAATACAAAATTTTATCATTTAGATTATCTCATTTGTAACACTAAAAACACTTTTATTGCATTTTGACATTTTTAAACTTATAAAACGCACGGAGATATAAAAGCATAAAATTTTGGTATAATATACACACAATCCTAAAAGTTTTTTGTTTGAGACATTATTTTCAATTTATAATATCTTAAATTAGAACCCGTCTTATAAAAAGTAATCAATCATTAATAAGCAATACAGTTTGCATATTTAGTTAGTAATAAAAAATGATAAATATTTTATAAAAAATGATAAATAGTTATATAATAAAAAATGATAAAAAAGGTGTCTAACTTTACACTTTAAGTTCAAATTTAAAAATTATTTGCAGCTCATGGTAAACCAAAAAAAAAAAAAATCATTCGTAATAAAGCCTATTAAAAAAAAAAAACTTTCTTCATAAAAATTCTGTTTGCATAAAAAAGTTTTAGTACCGCATATTTTAAATTTTTTTTGGTACAAATTTATTTATAAATATAATTAAATTAATTTATTTATAAATATAATTAAATTAATTTACTATTTTCTCGTGAAAAATATTAATAAAGAGAGCACAATTAAGGTGCCAAACAACATCGGGAAGGAGATGAAGTAAAACTGCATTAAACAATATTTACAAATTTCTTTGTTGAACTTGAGACATTTCTAATCTTTTACAAAAATGCGGATTAGTATATTAATTCGTTAATTGAAAATTCAACTCACAGATCGCTTGTAAAAAATTTACAATACGCAAGTCATAAACAAGTGGCGAAAAATTTGAAAAAAAAAGCTAAAAAGAAGTAAGTGAAAATATAAGAAATAGTTTATGAAATTAATACTTTGTTATAAAATTGAAATCCAAAAAATTTTCTTTTCTGAATTCTTTTATTACAAAGAGTAAGAAAATGAAATTTACTAATTAAATAAACTTGACTATAATTATAATGAAAATAATGTACAACTTTTCTTGGACTTGACTTCTTGGAATAATGTAGGATATTTTTAAAAAACATAAAATGTCTCGGAGATAGTTATAAAAAAAACGGTAATTACCTAGGCATTATACTGAAAAATTTTTTGGTTGGAGACAACGAAACCTTTGCAAGCGTGTTTACAAGCGAGTTTGCGAACGTGAATATAAAAAAAGCAATTGCTTTTACTAAGCGTTTTTGGAATAATTGATCAGCTTTACACGAACAAAATTTTTTAGCGATGGTTAAATCTTTATTTACGTAAAGCTAAGCAATTACACATTTTAGCGCTCAGTCAAAAGCAATTGCTTTTTTTTTAAACACTCAATCTATCGAGGGGTGAAAAATAATATTTCATCGCGTAGTTTTAAATTCTAACTTTGTTAAATAAGTATTACAAAAAATAAACAAAAATTTTTTGGCGCAAAAAAATTTCTTGTTTTCTACTAGAAATTAATATTTTTATCTCAAGTTGTTTTTCGTCTTATTATTTTATCTCAAGTTATATTTTATCATATTTTTCTAACTCAAGTTATATTATATTTTTTATCTCAAGTTATATTTAATCACATTCTTATTTTTAGAAATACGTTATCAAGTTGATATCTTAAAAAATGCGCTACCGATCTGAAGAGCTTTTTTCTAAAAGGAACTAAGTCGCATTTTTATTGTTTTGAGAAAAATAAAAAAACTGATTATCCGGCGAAGTATTTTTTAAATATCAATAACTTTGTAATCGTAAATAAAGATGATAAATAATTTTTTATTCATACCAGCATAGTTAGATTTGTATCTTTTTCAATAAAGAATGTTGAAAAAAATCAACTTTGAAAAAAAACGGACTTAGAGAAACGCTCTTCAACTATGATATTAAGAAATAAGTTTTCATTTATTTTTAAAAAAATTAATAGTTCTGAAATTCATATGCTTAGTACTAATAAAAGGTTAAAAATTCCACGGACTAAAATTTTTAACATACCAGGGTGGACTTATAAAACAAGTTTTATATTATTAATCTATATTTATTTGTTACTTGAAAAATAAACATTTATTTTAATCCTTTTTTATTTATAGTAATTATTTGTACCTTTATAATTGCAAAACTTTGATTGGATACTTTACAACTTTTAGTTATTTTGATTGGTCAGCATCATAATAAACGTTTTAATGAAGTGAATAGTTTTTGTAAAGTACCCATTTTAACCCTAAATTGAAAAGGGCAGAAGATGCATTAAAAAACAAAAACAAAAAAAAAACAACTCGTTTTTGATTTATAAGTTATCAAAAATGAATAAAAATGTAACTAAAACAGAATATTTGGTAAAATTGTTTGTAATATTTGTTTGTAATGTTCATAAAAATAAGTTTTAATTGCTCGTTTAAACTTCAAAAAGTATATAAAAAGTACCTAAAATGGGTATGGCCGCATATATAACCTTTGGGTTATATATATCTTTCCCTAACTTTAAAACCTTTGGGTTATATATACCTTTCCCTAACTTTAAAACCACTTTTCAACTAAAAAATTTTACTTTTATGGAAATCTTTTATTTTTGTTTAAAAAAAAAACAGATTTAAATAAAAGAGTGTTTGTGTGATTTTCACATAGTAAAAAACTACAAGAATCTTTACAAATAATTTATCAACGTGAAAAGTTTATTCAGCTGTCGCTTTTTTTAAAAGAAAAAACAAGATTCGGTTTATATTCTTCGCAAAGCAATTTTTCTTGAATAAACGTTTTAATTTTTTACATGATTGTGGATTTTCTCTAAAAAAAAGTTGCTGAAGAAAATGTTTAACTTCATTAGTGTGAAATGGGTCGGACGAATTTATAAATAAAATATGACGTAACGATGGTTATATAATGATGGTGTATTGTAAAACAGTAAAGAACAATTACTGCATTTACCAAATTTTGAAAACCTTCTTTGTCTAAATTAAAACCTTTAAAAATCTGTCTGTTCTTCTAAAACAAAGAAAAATAATTTTTATTTTAAAAACGTTTTGTAATAGTTTTGAAAACTTTATTCTTTTCAATTTCACATTAGATTAATAATCAATGTTAAAATATTACTCGCAATCGCAAACAGAAAGTGACATAAATTTTTAATGTCCTATATATTCTGGCGTTATTATAATTTAAATTTTTTAAACGGGAAATATGTTTGGCTGATAACAAAAAAAGGCATCTTGGTATAACAAAGATGTTATCGCACACAAACATTCAATATTATTGAATCAATAATATATATTTTGTTTTTATAAAAACTTTGTGAATACTTACGTATAAAACATTTTCCGCACGCACACTTATCTATCTATCAACATATGTGTTACCTGCTTTTTTTTAGATGTAAATATTTTCCGAGAAGAAAAATGGGTAATAAACTGAGAAAGAATTCAGAAGGTATTAAAGGGGACGACGAAGGCAACGTAAAACTGACAAAATTGCAAAAAATTCAAAATAATGCTGAGCAGAAAAATGAAGCGCGTGATAAACCGTCAAAAAAAAGAGACAAAATAGCTAATATAGCACAAACGAAACGAAACGAAACGAAACATGAATTTAGTAAAACAGAACAATCAAATGGCAATCATTTTTTAGAAAACTCTCAAAATCAAAACAATCGTAATTGCGAACACAAAACACAGGATGCGCCATCTAACGAATCCAAAACTAAACTGCTCAATATTAACAAAATTGAAAGCTTCGCTGCCGATTTATGCAATGTTATCACTAAAAACGCGTATAATACTATCAAAGAAAATGGGTTTAAAGCATATGCAAAAAATTTAGCTGAAACAGAGAAAAAAACTAACACATCGGAAATCGTAAACGAAAAGAAAGATGAAAACACTAATGACTTTTTTCAACAAAAACTTATAACAGATTGTACTATTGATGAAAGCGTTCCTGATATAAAAGAAAGAAATGACTTAAGCGAGTCCAAGAAAGAATCCATTAACGATTTCAAGCAACAAGATGAATGTGATTTTAGTCCAATAAGTCAAGAAAATGAATCTCTTACTTCTGTAACGCACGATTGCTCAAATGAAAATGGCACCGAGGCGATACCAGCAAATTTGAAGAAGTACGACGAAATAATACACAAGTTTTCAAATGAACTGACCTCAGTTATATTAAATAATTTATTTCTTAAGCTAAAAACCTGATATTTTGAAAACAAAAGTATCACACAAGACAATTTACATGAGCATATAAAAAAAATTCTATAAACTTTTAAAGAAAAATGAGTGTAAATAATACACGATTTACATTATAAGCAACTTGGATCAGGTCTTAGATTTATTTTTAGCAGGCGATTAATTAACATTTAAGCTAATTACTAATATTAATTATTTAATATCAATTAAATTTATAATATTAATAATAATTACTAGTATTGAGCAAATAATGAAATCAAAAGTTAATAATATCGTAATTTTCCTCAACAATTTTTTATCAATTTAATAAGCAAGTTTTTGATATTCTATAGTAAATTTGTCTAAAAAAAAATAAAATAAAATAAAATAAGCCAAAAACCTTCAACTTCAAATATTTTGTAATGTAAAGAAATCGCTTAGTAAATTTTTAAATACAGTTAAATTGCTTATAAAAAAATAATCGTGTATTATAAGAGGTGTTAAATTATTATCATGGTTGATTAACGAGGGATTATCACGGATATTAAATGTTTAGCAAAACTTTCAAAGTAAAGATGGTTGCGAGGCGCAAAATCTATTAAATTTATTTAATCCAGTTATTTTTAGAAGCAATAAATTAGATTATAAATTTGTAGTAAATATGAATAATAAAACAACAATATATTTTAATAAAATTTTTTGTCAAAATTATTGAACAGCTTTTTTAACTTACTAAAAACAATAAAACACAATTATTGTCCAAAGTATTAAAGAGAGAACGCCCCTAAATAAGACTTTTTCATAAATTATAGAAAAGACGCCCAATAAATAATATTAAAGCATAGAAATCCAAATGGAAACAAAAACCGACTAACTATATCAAGAGACGCCGGTTTACCAGTCACCATCATTGGTTCAAAATAATAAGGGCGATTCCCTAGTGGGTCACTTTTCCACATACTTAAATATTCTTCTTTCAACTTTAACTTTTGCTCTCGTATTGAAGTTTTTCTTATACTTTGAACTCTTCCATGATTATCAAATAAAACGAGGTCTGTATCGTTAATCTGTTTCGTATCGTAAATCTGTTTCATTTGATTTAAAGCATTCTTTGTCCTCAGATTCGTCTAATAAATATTAGAAAAAAAAATAAAAATACATTTAAAAACATGTAATAACTAAATACGAGCAATATCTCTTATATACATATACATATATATATATATATACACATATACATATATATGTATATATATATATATATATATATATATATATATATATATATATATATATATACACATACATATATATGTATATATATATATATATATATATACATATACATATATATGTATATATATATATATATATATATATATATATATATATATATATATATATATATATATATATATATATAATTTTAATATTTAATATTATAACGGTTAATATTTCAGAAAAAGAATGAGGGAGAACAATAAAATTTTAGTAAGAAATTCTAAACAAAAAAAAAGTTTAGATTTTTTTAATTTTATTTGCTAAAGTTACCCACTTAGAAAGTTAGCTAACAGACTACTTTCTACCAAAGGTGACACCTTACACCTTATCATTTCAAGTACTATCATTTCATAAATAGTAAGAGCACCAACAAATATCCTTTGCACAACAAAGGATACAAACTTAAACATAGCAGCAGTGAGCTTTTTCTAATGCCGTTTTAAGTCTGTGGATTTTGAAAACGTTCCACTGTTGACATTGTACATTGCAAGTACATTGAATAAAACGTTGAAAGGAATAAAGTCATGAATTACTTTAAGGAAAGGCGCCATATTTTTCATTATGACAGTAAGCTTGTAGATCCAATTAACACATTTTAACCATTTTAATCGTTATGAAAAACTGTGAAATAATTGTCATTGTAGTTTAAAGTTATTGGTCAAAATCATACAATTTGGGCTTGTTTTTTATTTATATATATCTTAAAAATTAAAACATATGTTAAAATTTCTAATCAACCCAGAAACCTATCAGTAATGTTTTTCCTATAGAACTAAGAAAAAATCTACAGACCCGACAGAATGGAACCAACTTATCAGCCAATTTTTAATTTTTAAAAATCAGGCTAAGAGGGGGAGTTAAGTTAACATTATTTGCAGAACAGGGACAAAAGAGGAGTTAAGATTAGATTATTTGCAGAACAGGAGCAGAAGGGGAGTTAGGTTCAGATTATTTGCAGATCCTAGATAGCAAAATTTGCTATTTCTAATAGTAAAAAAAAAAAAAAGAGAAAAAAAAGATAATATAGAATAAATATAGATAGTAAATTTAGTGTAAACGATGCAAATAAAAAATTTAAAAGCTAAAAAGTTGACATAAAAAGTAACAAAAAAACCTGACATAAAAAAGTTAACATAAGTTTAGTATTCGATTTTAGCTAAAAAAAAATTATCATGTTCAAATAATAATTAAATTCGAAAAATTCCATTTTCGAATTTAATTATTATTTTTTCTTAACTTATTTTGTATTATAAAACTTATTCATTTTCAATATTTATTTATTAAAACTTTTTAAACTAATTCAGTTTCAAAGCACTGAGATGTAAGGGAAAGAAATTGATGAATGAAAGTTTTTAGAACGTGAAAGGACTAACTCGGTAATAGGAAGCAACTTTGTTAAATGACAAGTCAAATGAGAATGAGTTTGATAACTCATTTGAGGAGCGACCATCATAGTATTTGTAGAAAAGAAATACAACCTTATAACAATGAGAAAGTGGCTCAAACTTGCAGAAAGTTCTTATAATCAAGAAATTCTATGTTCAATCCCATGGCTTCCTTCTTTGTGGACTTAAGGAGGTTTATTATTAGAAGAACCAGCCCAAATATGAGAACTTCAAACAGGAACGAATAAGAGATTTGTAGAGAACGAAATTGGTAGGTAAAAAAAATGGCAAGCACAATAAAAAGTGGCAACCTTAGCAAATGCTAACTTTGGAATGATTTGTAAATATAGTTTTCATGAGGTCAGTAGTGAACGATAATCAAAGAAGATATCAATAGAGGATCAATTTAGGAATGTAAACAATATTGAAATATTGGCTAAATAAATCAAGATTGGCTGCCTTTTTTAAGTAATCAAACTTAAAAAAAAGCAGCCGAAGATCAGACTTGTGTATTAGATATAAAATGTTAGACTTTTAATGAAGCTGTAGAAGATTTTCCAAAAGTCTCACGTGGGAGGCACATTTATCAGCAAAGACAAAAGACATCAGCCCAAAGACCAACACAAGGAAAATTACAAAAGGAATCTCAGTCAGCTTTAGGATAGTAGTATATAGTGCAATGATAGGGTAAGTTTGAAGAAGAAGTATGATATATAATATTTAGAGATATCGTTGCATGGTCCAAAACACATAAAGGAGAAATTAAACACAAGCTAAGGTCAGTGACAAGATACAAATCAAAGTGTAAAAGGAAAATTTACTAATTTACAAATATTCATAAAAAATAGATTGAAATAGGTGGTCGTGATGGTTTTTATAAGTTTAATATTTTTAGCTATCTTTTAGTCATGTTTATAAGTCAAAGAGAATTTGACTTTAAGAGAACACATAGTACCAATTTAAGTTAAAAGATAGCTATGCAGTTGTTCAGTTCTGCTATTTAACTCAAAATTATAACAAAGGGTTTCTTAGGTGGCATATGCAACAACAATGTACACCAGAAGCATTAACGGAGAAACAAACCATGCACATCATAACACTATTAATACTCTTATTTTTTATAGCTGTTGATGAAATTTTTGCTTCTTTGAAAGCTAATACAGAGCTTGGGAAACCTTACTACCAGCCGACCTCAGAAACATTTTAAAAAGTTTTAGTTTCTCTCATTAAAAGATAACAGTAAGATTTGCATATGCTACATCAAGGAGGCACAAGTTAAAACCCGTGAGTAGAGTCAAGAAGATCCAGAATTAATCATTCTATGTATTAATCATCCTAGGCAGGAAACAATGTAACACAGGTTTACATCTATTCCAGCCTAATAGATAAAAAAGGAGTCCAGGGCTGATCAGATAATTTTTTCAGATTACACCTAAAGTCTTTGCCTAGAAGACTCTCTAAAAAACAGTAGTTTATACAGTTAACATATCAGTCCAAGATAAGTATTTTTATTGAGACACTGTCTAGCTTTTACTCTAACATGAGCCTACTTTTGTCTAGAAAAGTCTAGATCCTACAAAGGGAGCAGAACATACTGGATTACATTACTACACCAGTAGTAGCGTGATTATGAACATCTTGAGCCTGACTTGACCTAAAATAACTAAATGAAGCAACATTTTAAACAAGTACTCTAACATATTCAAAAGCATTGTATTGAGAAAAACAATTTTTTATCTCTTACACCCATGAAGTTTTTTATCTCTTACACCCATGAAGTGTTTTTACCTCTCACACTCATGAAATTTTTTTACCTCTCACACCCATGAAGTTTTTTTTACCTCTCACACCCATAAAGTATCGCATAAACAAATAATTAAATGAAGCAACATTTTAAAAAAGTACTCTAACATATTCAACAGCATATTTTTGCATTAAGAAAAACATTTTATATAAAGGAATACCAAAAACATAAAGGTACAAATAGAAATTATTTTTACTATTTCAGAATTTTTATTTAGGCCTTGTATAAAACATAATAAAGGGTGTGGCTTTAATTTTTTCTATACTTGGCAAGCATATCTGAGGGGTGATCCAAGTAGCATACGATTAACAAAGAACAGACTTAAGCTAGCATACCATTTGACTTTTTTATTGACTTTCAAATGAGAAACAAAAACCAAATTCAAAATTTTAACAGAGTTAACAGATTCAATTTTTTGTAATGAAAAAATTTATTATAATTTATTATAATTTCAAAATTTATTATAAATTCTAATCTGTTTTTGTAATTGTTGAGAATTTATTTAAAAATTACAACCAGTCCAAAACAAAACAAGAAATCCATAAACAAGATTTAATAAATCACAATTTATGTACTTTATTATTTTTAAATAACTGTCGCAAGTTAATGACAGCAGCAAAATGATTGAAAACAGAAATAACACATTAAAGATCATAAATAAATTAGAAAAAGTTCAAGCTTTTCATTAATTCATTAAAATTTCAATTTATCAAAATTTCCATTCATTAACTTTATTAAAATACTTAAAATTAAAATAACTATTTAAATATTTCATTACTAAATTTAACCTGTAGCAATTATAATTATTTATTATAATGCTAAATAATTATAATTATTTAGCATTAATAAAGATAAAAAAAAATTGAGATTTATAAGATATTTACATATCAGTATAAATTTATAAATAATCATAATTAGTTACCAATCCTTTATAACTATTTCTATATGGCATTGACTTCTAACTATAACCCGATCTCCTAATAATAGCCAAATCGTATTACTAATATTAACAAAGTGAATAACAAACTTGAATTGGTAGTTAAAAAACTTTTAATATATTGAGTCAATTTACTCTAAATACAGATACAACTACATATTTCAATCCACTTTTGATCCTACAGCTTACTTGTAACCACCTACAGCTTACTTGTAACCACCTACAGCTTACTTGTAACCACCTACAGCTTACTTGTAACCACCTACAGCTTACTTGTAACCACCTACAACAGGCTCTAAATGAATAACAATGAAAAGATTTAAGATGAAAGCAGCAAGGCTAGGGCTATAGCTCTTGAAAAATCTGGCATGCATATCTCATGTAATGTACCTGGTAAAATTTCTAAATCATTCCTTTCGAATGGAGCAGTCAACCACTCATGAAAACCATATATACAATCCAATGCAAATTTAGCACCTGCTAAAGTTGCCTCATTTCATTCTCTACCTCTATAAATCTCTTATTCTTGTAATACTGTTATCTGATGAATTTTTGAATGAAGCCTAAATAGGATTGTAAATGTTGTTGGACCTAGCTGGACCAAGCTGCCAAGCTTAAGCCTTTGAAAGTAATAATGTTATACCACATGATAAATAAGCTTTAATTTTATTGCCACCACTGTAAGAGTCCATCTCTTTTAATTTCTACAAATAATACCGATCAAGTGTGACCATGGTCGCTGATCAAGTGAGCAAACATCACTTGATTCATCGAACAAAACTCTTATATGACTTGACATTCAGCAAAAACATCTTTATACTTCAACTGTTTCTTCATGAAACACCTTTTATTGATCTAGTTTTTTCCTCGAATATTCTTTGAAATTCTTTTTTTATGTTTTTCTGAATTGAATATTTTACAGTTTTTTTTGTCAACTGATTTCTTTATTTGGTCTCTTCTTTGATTTCTCTTAAAAACTAACTTTAATAGTTGCTTGTGACATTGTCGGAAATGAAATAATTAAAAATAGTAATAATATAGATAACAATAATAACAATAATAATAATATTATGAATACTTATATAATGTAATAAAGATTTATATAACAATATAACATAAAAACATAAAAAAGGAAACAAAAACTTCATGAATTTAATTTTAGTAAATAAATCAAGATTAATGAACAAAACATTGAAATATTAAACTAAAATTTGAATTAAAGAATTATAGACAGAATAGAGTAAGAGAAAATAACATTTAAAAAATACATACAACATTTGTAAAGTCAATGCTTTTTCTTGTTTCTTGTTTTTTCTTTATAGTTTGCCAAGTATAATTTGCTTTTTGTTCCTTCCAAAGTGTAAAATGAATATTAGTAGCCAGACCATACTCCAATAATGACAAACAAATAAAGGTTGTGCAACCTAACATGTAGATATCAAGTGCTGTTGTATAATTAATTTTTGGCATAGCATTTATAACAACTTCCCAGAGTCTATAAGTTGTAAGAAGACTCACAATTCCAATACCTAAAAATATAATATAAAAAGACCAAAGATGAAAGGAATAAGGATAAATAAATAAAGGATATAAATATATATTTGTATATATAAGATATATATACTTGTATATATATTTATACAGGGGCTATTCTAGACTGTTTTCGACAGCGTCGATCGTATTTAGGTGCCGCCCAAATTAAAATTTGAGGACCTTTTTTTTTTTTAAACATTTTTTTTTTACGTTTTAAGATGTTGAGTAGTGAGTCTTCTCTCTGGTAGAATAAATGCCATTATTGCTCGGAAATCTTGCACTATTTAAATTAAATATTTTCTGAAACTTCACTTTAGGAAGTACAACAGATTCTTCAAAAAAAGTGGAACACCTGATTTAAATGAAAAAGAAATTTCATATCATCACATTCTGCTGTTTCAATAATCACTTTTTTGCCTTTCTTAAAATTCTTCCTAAGCTGTTTATAGCAAGTTCCGAGATAAATGAATATTCAAAATTGGAAAACATGCAATTTCCTTTGAGCTCTTTATCCATTATTAGGCAAATGACTTGGTCAAGAGCATGATGTTGACAATCAATCAAATCTTCCAGGTTCTTCCAGTTCCTTTTCAATAAAACATTTTTGTAACTGACTGACAATCTTATTTTTTCTTCTAGAGTTTACATTTGTAGTGTCCGCTAAAATCCTCTTTATATCCTTCCATAAATTGTATTCATTAAAACTAGATGTTATACCTTTAAAAAAAGTCAGTGGTCAGGTTTCGATCGGCTTTTTCATCTGGTAAATCATTATGACTATGATTTGTACATAAGTTTTTCCTTTTTATAATACATTTGTAGTTTTTCTGAACATCTATTTGTTTTTCTTTGTTTTTATTACTTATCCATAAATTATATTTATAATCACTGGTGCTGTTAACTTCTCTGATTATTCTTTAACACTAACTTGATATTCTTGGCAACTAATACATTTATCATCAAAGTGCAGTAACCAGCTTTATAAATATAGTGATTACTTCATTTCTTCTTTATGTCTAACATCTTCTTTAATAGTTGATCTGAATATACCAGATAACTATCAACAAATGGCTGCAGTTTTGGTTTTGCTGTAATTTTTGCTGGTACTTGTGGACTTGGTCTGAATCTTCAGACTCTTGATATTCTGCCTCAGACTCAGATTTGAAAATTGTTGCTGCTGCTGTTGTTGAAGTAGGCCTTAAGAACATTTTTCTTTCTTTGGATGAATGAATTGGTTTTTGAACCAGCAACCTTTTCAATTGTATACCCAAACTGTTCTTCATTTTTAATCTGAAGGTAATACAATCTTTTATCCTCACTGCGAAGCTATTCATAAGTTTTTTTGTGAAACTCAAAAACTTCATTCAATAGATCTTATTTTCTTTGCTTTACACATTTATCGCACTGGATCCAGTTTTACCTGTAAGACTTGAATTGATAAATGTGAAAAATTTAATTTCTTTTGCCATTATTCTTTAACCACTTGTTACAACTTTCTCAATTTGATTTAAACAAATAACACTTTGGATATTGAGTGATATGCAGCTGTTATCTTCAATTGATTGCTTTTCTAGTGGAACAGTTCTTCTTTTCCTGTTTTTTTGTTTTTGTTTTGCTTCTATTGTTCTATTTTTTTTTAGTAATGAGAAATTATGATTGAAGATAGTACTTTAAAATATTTCTGAATGGCAATAATATATGAATAACAATAAATATAAGTGCTACTGTACTTCTATATTATTTGACTGCCTTCTGGCAAATACAGATTCATATGTAAGGTTAAAAATTTTCAGAAATTTTCAAAAAAAGGTAAGTTATTTTATAATTAATGGGTAAAATTTTATATCTTATTTTGGCAGTTGTTATGGACAATTTTATGGTAAAATATTGTGAAGTAGATTATAAATTTTTTTTTGAAAAACACTTTTTTGGTATTTTGTTGAGTTTTTTTTATCACAACTTTAAGTAGCAACTATGATAATTTGTTTTCAAAGCTGTTTTATCCTGTTATTTGTTAAGCATATTGATGTTCATCTCTGTAATTCTAGAAAGTTTTAGAGATTTCTAAAGACATCTAAAATAATTCAGAAATTCTAGAAAGTTCCATAAGGTTCAAGAAAACTCTAGGCTTCAAAATAACACAGTGCTACTCTTGCAAATACTACTTATATATCATTTTAAAAATTTCGTGTTTTGGGTGACCTTTTATTAAAATTAATCAGAATAAAAACCATTTTCATTTAGTTATTTATTTTACAAAAATTATTGGTTATGACTTTCTTACTTATTATTTTATTGTATAGCCATTCAGATTTTCAAGTACTATCTTCAATCATTCAAGTTCCTATAAGAAAAATGCCTCCATTACTGAAAAAAAATTGGCACCTCTCCGATCATTCTGAAGACCTGCTAACAGAGCCGTCCTTAGAAAATGTGAGGCCTGGAGCAAAACATTTTTGCGAGGCCTTCTTTAAAGTCATCATTTTAGGCGCTTTGACGAAGAAAAACTTTTTCTCTTATTGTCTGAAAAGAGGTTGTATAAGTGCAAAACATAAATTTCGGGTTGGTATAACTTTGAGTTGTTATTTTTGTGTAGGTTTATAAAAAAGATTGATTGCTTTATAAAATAATCTAGAATAATAACAATAAAGTTATTCTTAAAGTTATTAAAGGCCAAATAATGTAAAATAAATAATAATTTTACATTACTTAGAATTAGAATAACAAATAAATTTTTTCTTTTTTGGTTATTATTGAATAATCAGTTATAAATAATATAACATATTTTTACAAAATAGTAGTCTTATTTGCACATATTATGTTTTCAGCAATTGATATGAAGGGTGCTCATAGGTAGGTAGATGTTATATAATAAGTGTTCACAGTGTAAAATAATAGAATTTAATTTTATAATAGAATACTGGCAAATTTTTATAATATAATAATACAGCGTTATTAATACTGTAAAAACAGGGTTAGATAATTTTTAAAATTGCTTAAAAAGGATGAAAACTTAGATATTGCAATTAATAGCCTTTCTTGACCCTTGGACGAACTTAATTATGTCTTGATAAGGTTCAAGCATGAAAACCTCCTTCTGCCCTTGTCACAGTTACAGGTATAGTCAGTAGGTCAAACAGGTTTTAAATCTGATGAAGAAATCTCAAAATCTTTGCAGCTGTTTCCACCTCAGCTGGTAGAAGTTCTTAAAGAACCTCAAGTTCAGAAAAAAAGTCATTTTCACAAACATTCTTTTCTTCTTCCAAACTTAGGAACAATTCTAGGTCTTTTCACCTTTGAAACAATTTATCTTCTTTTACTACTTTTAGTTTTTTTATTTGCTACGAAAACCCAAACATAGTATCGTAATTAATTATTTGTTCAAACATTCTGCAATAACAAAAAAATACTTTAATAAAACTCTACGCCAAGAGTTTCACTAAGTACTCTTACTAACAAAGTTGCCGGCACAAAACCTAAACCTAAATTTCAGAAAAAAACTGAACTAGCCTTTGAAGCAACTGCGACGCAACTCCAAGGTGCATTTTTTGAGTCAGTAGGCTTTTTTTTATAACTTATTTCATTCATAACTGATGGTGTTTCACTATTGTTTCTTTTTTTGGATCCTCAGTGAACTCAACTAGATTAACTAATGCAGTATGAACTTCTTTAATTTGATATCGAGGGGCTTTTACCCTTTCTAGTTTACTTTCCCAACGAGTGTCACAGGACCTTTTTACAGCTAGATTTAGTAAGTATTGAATGAAAATTTGCCATTGCATTTTTAAGGAAGAAAAAAGTACATAAATTCTTTGCACAACACCAAAAAACGTCATAGATTTATATAATCATTTTGCTACATCTCAAATAAGGAAGTTGAGGCTATGGCTAGCGCAGGGCATGTAAAATGCTTTTGGATTTATTTCTAAGATGTACTCAAGAGTGGATACCGTTGTCATACCATTGTCCTTTTTAGTCCCTGATTTGCAATCCAATTTTATCTAACTCTTGTAAAAGAACATCAGTTAGATTTTTTCCTGTTGTTGGTTTAACGTCTAAGAATCCGGTTTGTTTAACGTTTGTTTAAAGTTGGTTTAACGTCTAAGAATCCAAGTAAATGTTCTTCGATGCTTACATCTTTATTTTCACTTTTCAAAAGCAATTATTTTTTCTTCTTTTTTAGTTTTGAAAACAAAATGAAATTTTCATCTGATCTATTAATTTTTTTTTTACTTTTTACTTTTTTAACTTTTTCACTCTTTAAAAAGGTATTTTATATCCGTTAAACAGAAAAGCTTCAATAGTTTCGAACACGGCCTTCTATAATAACTTATTAAATTATTATAGAATTATTAAATTATTATAGAAGGCCATGGCTTCGAACAAGGATTTGCATTTTTTTGTTCGTTATTATCACATATGAAGGAGAATCATGTTGATATTAAATATTAATTAAAAAAAAAAATTTTAATTAATAATTAATTGCGCGGGTAATTAGATATTTGGCACGTATATTATTGTTGTATTATTTTCATTTAACCAAAACTTTTACTTATTTTTTAACGACAGTAACGCCTTTTATTTTTTAACAAGAGTAAGGTGTTGCTGCGTGAGGCCTTATTCTTGTTAACAATAAATAAAAGTTTTGATTGCTCGTGTTCAGGATGGCCTCGCTGCGCGAGACCTTCCTAACCGTGAGGCCTGGAGCGGCTGCTCCACTCGCACCACCCTAAGGACGGCACTGCCTGCTTAAAGGGGTCAACCAACTATTATTAATTTTGTTAAAAAAATTTTTAATATTTTATCCAACTATTTATCTTTATAATATAAATAATAAATTAATTTAAGATTAACATGTTAACTATATTACTATTCAACTAAATAAACAATTAAACACTTTCAACATTCTTAAAACAAAAAAGTTAAAACCAAAATATAGTAAAAAAACCTAAACGTGCTGATACACAGTTTACATGAAGCCAAAAAGATACCCACGACACCATTACGAGAGAAGCAGATGGAAAAAAAGCTTGAAATATATATGCTTGAAATCTTCTTTCAAAGATAACATCAAACTTTATTATTGAGTATTCACCTAAAATCAGTAATATAAAATTATATGAAGCTTACAATTAAAAAATATTATCTCCATTTAAACCATTCTTCAGCTTTAACCATTTTGAACAACTGTAATAAAGGGTTAAAACCGTGAAAAAGGATGAATAACTGTAATAAGCTTCGAATAAATATGAAAAAATCTTTTGATTAAAAAATGAAAAAAATGTGGTGTAGTTTTAGAGCACTTGTTTTGTAAGCAAGAAGTTCCTCAAGGTCGTCACCAAATCCCTGGTAATACACAGGATGTGGTCCTCACCACATCCCTGGTAATACCATCCTCAAATTGGTTCTCAGCACAGAGGCTTTGTTTATCAAGTGGTTTTTTTGTTTTTGTTCGTGCATTGAAATTTGAGTTGTTGAGAGGATTGATAACTACAATAAATAATAAAAAAAGTTGCCTCCTCAACTGCAGTGTAGCCTCTCACTGCACTGTAGCCAAGTAGACTCCTCAACTGCAACAATAGCTCCTTAACTCAGCCTTAGGGAGTTAAATAAAATTTAAAAAAATTTACAATAGGATATCATTTATAGCAAACCTAAAATTTGAGATAAATTTTTTCATTACCCTGACATTAACACTTTTTATAAATCAAAAATACCATAGTCTTATTTTATTGTTACAAAAGTGTATATGATAAAAATTGGCTTATTAGGTTGATGACATTCTAATCAGTTTGGAAAAAAAAGCTATGTACTCTAAAGTCTTGGGAAAAAAAAATTATGCACATTATGTATTGAATGTTTTATATATTTAAGCAAATGAAAAGTAAAAATTTAACAACAGATCTCCAGTTTTTTTTTTATTTAAAAAAATACTGTTTCAGATTACCTGCTTGTCTAATCTTGCAAAGTGCTTAAAAGATAATTAAATTCATCCAGATGTCATTAATAGCTGCAGTAAAAAATTAGGTTTTTCAATCTATTACAAAAATTATTCCAATAAACTGGATAAAAAAAAAGAAATTAATAATTACTGAATATGAATGTGTATATTCAGTCATTTTAGCCATAATTCTAGAGTCAAAGTACAAAGTCATTTATTTTATTTCAGCTAGCACGTTTAAATTTTCTTTGATTTTTTTTGCTTCTTATAAATTTATTTCTTACAACATAAAGTTTAGAGATAAAAGAACCAGATTGGCTATGACAGCTTCTACAAAATGCCAAATTTAAGGCAAACCTACAAAAACATCTTTAACATTTTTAGCCAAATTAAAATATATATATATATATTTTTTGGCTTTAAAAGAGAAACAAGGTTATTTTGATTCCTTTTTTTAGGGAAACACGATCAGGACCCAGATTAAAAAAGTGGGACCTGATATAACATGCTTTAAGGTATTATAGATTTGATGCTGACTATATCAGATGATAGTTGTCATACCAAAATATAAATATTAAAAAGTTTTTTCCTTTTTTAAGCATTTTTTAAATTTTTTAAATTTTCCTATTGTTCATTTACTAATCGATTTATAACAATTTTTTTATTATCAATTTTTATAAATGATGTTTAAAAATATATATGTGATGATATATTTCTATTCTATATATGAGCATTTTATTTACTAAATGTTAAGGAGTTAGCATTAAGACAATAAACATAATTTAAAATTATGTTAATTTGTCTAGAATTTACACAACTTTTTTCAATTGCGCATACTTTTATTTTAACAATTGTGTATATTTGTGTATATATATTACTGTTTTATTAGTCACACATTAGTACACAAATTGTATGAGGTACACAAATGGTGTATAAGGTACACAAATTAAAAATTAAATTACACAAAAAAACATATCACGTTGACTAATAAAACAGTAACTAGTCAAAAAGATTGTAAGAAATCACAAAAAAACTTGATGTTACCTTCTTTATTTGACGAGAAGCTGTAGTACTCTGATAAATTTGTAGCATTTTCAATATGAACTGAGTGTTGAGGAAGATGGTTTAGAATTAACGAAACAGGATTGTCTTCGATCCAGACATAGTTGATATGTGTTTTGTCATGAGCAACTATTGTTCAAGAAATTAAAAATGAAATTTTTAATTTCTTTCATTTTACAATAACAAGTAAAAAACAAAATTATCTTTTTTAATTAAATTTGAAATAATTGAATTAACTTTTTTGAATGAAAAAGAATACTTACAACTTAAAACTCCTATTTCACATCGTTGAGTGTCCATAGGATAGTTATGAAGATCAAAAGTACAGTGTGACACTAATGTGACTCTGAAAAAAAATAATTTTAATTGTGTTTTTCTTCATACTTTTTGGTGTTTAAATAAGATTCTCTTTTTTTGTTGAAAGAAGAAAGAAAAATTTGGCACACTGTTTTACTATTTTGTTTAAAAAAAAAAGTCATTAAAAAAACATTGATAGAAAAAAAAAAATTAATTGTAATTATTGTAAGCAATTGTTCAAAATATATTTGATTTAAAAAAAAATTGCTGAACAAAAATCTGCAACCCGATTCACCAAATTTGCTGAAACTTGGTTCTAATGTTAAAAAACATAATTTAAAAAAGTCAGTAAATTTTAAAAATACATTTCAATCCTTTCATGGTCTACCGCAACTTGAAGTTTGTTTAACTGAAAAATGAGAGAGAGGGGGGAGGGGGAGGGGAGGGGGGCAAAGTTAAAATTGTTTTCTTTACTATTACCCTTAAAAGGTATATGAAGTAATGCTGCAATACAGAAATTGGATCCAAAAGACTTTTAAAACCCTAAAATTTTCCAGAAATTAAAAATAATCATAATTTATACACAATCCAAAAATTATAGTTTTCTAGTTATAGTATAGAAATAAAAAATAAATAACAAAAAAATTTTAATTTCTATAATAAATAATAAATATTTTTCAATTAAATTTTTAGGACTAATATTTTAGGACTAGCATAATGCTCTAAAAAAAAACTGACGAAAAAAAGTGAAAATTTTAATTAGATGTATATCAGATTTACATAGTTTTATTTTGTTTCAACTTTTTTGATCTAGTAAAGAATTTAATCATTGAAAATACATATGAGATGTACTTTAGGCCACACTCACCAAATTTAAAGATAAATCAAATATAAAAATGTAATTTTTCTAAGAAAAATTATTTTTTTTCATCATTATAGGCCAACTATCTTTATTGTTAATTTTTATTAAACAAGTTAATCATAATATCATTTTTTTTTTCAACACCAAATATGAAGAAAACCACTTAAAGTTGGTTGAAAAAAGGTTAAGATGAAAACAAAATTGTACTCAAAACACACAAATATGGAAAATTAATAAAAATCTTTTTAACTATTTTAAACATTTTAACTTTAATAAAATTCAGAATAACTTTTTAATGTTTTACAAATTAAAAAATGTTTTTCAAAAAAAAAAAAAAAAATTAACATTAAGATTAAACAACTAAAAACTCTCAAAAACATATTGATTTTTGGATAATAGTTTATCATTGTTATGTTTTATGAGGTTCTAAGATTTGGAAAAATCAACACATTGTCTATATTAACAGACCAAATGATACAAATTTAAATTGTTTAAGAACAATTATTTAGTCTCGATAAAAATACTCATCTTGGACAGACGCATCAAAAAAGACTAAGTATCACAAAATATAAAACACAAAAAACGTCAATCGCTATCGTCAAGTTCTCTAGATCTATCATTCACTACCTGGTCTGCGACATAACTTTTATATCACATACCTGGTCTGCGACATAACTTTTATATCACATACCTGGTCTGCAATATAACTTTTATATCACATACCTGGTCTGCGACATAACTTTTCTTCTGTTGAGTCTGTTGAATCTCTTGCAATGTTCACCAGACCTACTTGCTCTTTGTGTGACTAATTTGAACTCAACTGTCTCATCTTGTGTTCTTAGTGTTAATGGTTATTTTTGTTTAGTTCATAAAAACTCCAGTAGTCACATACTTGGCCTGGGGATTTACATTTGTTAAAATTCACTTTTTATCAGGAAACTAGGTTTGAATCCAAAGACTATTCTTTTATGTGCTTTTATTTAGCACCATTTGACTCTATAACCTTTCTCTTTGCTCTATATCGCTCTCTTGTGACTTTAATATCTCCTCTACTAGACTTATGCTTGTTTTTAACTAATACCAAAGCCCCCTATTTTTAGGTCACAAAATCTCGTATTACATCTCAACAGTGTCTATAATAAGGCCAAATCTGTTAATATTCCTCTCTTGCATGGTTCAGATTTTGTTACCTCACCTAAAGACAAAACTGAACTTTTTGCTAAGAACTTTTCATCAATCTCATCCCTTGATTACACTAATCACATCCTACCTTATGAAGCAGACAAACAGATTGATCCATTGCTTGACATTTAGATAAATCCAGCTTCTGCATCTAAAGTCATTTCCTGCTAAAACTTTTCAGCTTGCGGACTGTACAACATACCTGTTATAGTCTTGCAAAAGTGTTCTCTGGAGTTGTCATCTATACTATTTACAAAACTATTTACAAAGTGCTTACCAGAGCCTTTTTTTTCACCCTGCTGGAAAGCAGCATCTTTATCCCAATTTTCAAAAATTCTGAAGAGCCATGTGAGTTGTCTAACTACCATTCCATTAGTCTTCTTGCAATCACAAGCAAGGTTTTTAAGTCTTTAATTAACAAACATTTAATCTCTCATCTTGAACCTAATAATTTACTTTCTGATCATCATTTTTGCTTTGGTCTTCTTGTTCTACTGCTGATTTATAAACAGTAATGCGATAGGTTTTATCGTGCATCAGATAGATGTGGAGAGGCTAAGGCTCTTGACATTTCTAAAGCTTTTGATAAAGCTTTCTTCTTACAGTGTATCAAGTAACATCTTTAAGATTATTGAATCAATGATTTGTTAATGGTAATAACCAATAGGTTTTATTATGGTCTAAATGTGGAGAGGTAAAAGCTATTGCTCTCAACATTTCTAAAGCCTTTGATAACGTTTGGTATGCTGGTCTTCTTCATAAGCTCTCTTCTTACAGTGTATCAGGTAACATTTTAAGACTATTGAATCCTTCCTTACCAATTGTAGTATAAAAGTTGTCCTTTATGGACAGGACTTTCCTCCATTTTCTGTAACTTAAGGGGTTCCTAAAGGTTCTATTCTTGGCCCTATACTTTTTTAAATTTATATTTACAATCTCCCAGAAATTCTCACACCAAAGGTGGCATTGCTCGCTGATGATACTACCATTTATTTTTGTCATGATAAGAAGCCATTGCTTGGAGGGGGCAGTTGAACTTGAAAAGGATCTTACTTTTGCTACAGCATGGTGCTTTCAGTGGCAGGTGAACTTTAACTCAATTTATTTCAGCTAATTATTATTGCAAAAATATAGATCTTCCTTTATATTTATGAATGGTACTATGCAATAATTATCAAAAATATGATGTACTATTTATGATATTTATGATATATTATGCAATATTTATGATGTACTATGCAATATTTATGATGTACTTATGCAATATTTATCAAAAATTTTGGTTTTAGAACCTGCTAATACAGACACACGGTAAAGAAAAAATTAAAAAGCAAAACCGCAAAATTCTTCTTTAAGGTAGTGAAAAGAAATCTGAGCCTATTTTTACCTATTTCTGACTTAAAGCAAAAAATATATATAGCAAAAAAAATTTTTTTTGAAGAAAACTTAAAATCATGAAGACATTTTAAAATCATCATTAAATTAAATTAAACATCATTTTTAGTAAAAATTTAGTACATTTTTAGTACCTCAAAAAGAAGTCATCAACCCTTAGAACACTATTAATTAACTCTTACTTCAGATCTTTTCTTGAAAATTATATATCAAATTCATTGCAAAATTAGCACCTGCTAAAGTGCTAACTTTGCAATGATGCTAATAGTGTTTGCTTGCAACCTTATTGGAAGTGAAGATAAAGAAAGAAAAAAAAAAAAATCTAATTTAATTAAACTAACATTTTATTTAAAATGAAATAAAACAACTTTTTAATTTTATTTAATTATAAATAACTTATTTAAATTTCGATTGGATAAAGTTATTACATATTTTGATTGGATAAACAATGAATAAATGAATGAAAATAGAAAGAAAAAAACAAATTTATAAGAATAATAATTTTTTTTTTTAAATAAACCACAAAATATTCATTTTGGCTCACTTGAAATTCAACAGTTATTTATTGAAATGTAAAAAAAAAAAAAAAATTATAAAAAGTAAATGGAGCTGAGGGTTAGTCGGAGCACTGGGACAATGAACTTCTACACTGACTAACAAGCAATTTATACAAACAAGTTATGACAGTGTGATGAAATGAAAGTGAATTTGTTATGTCTGTTCCAATTAACCCTAAAGGTGGGGTTTGTTGGAATGCTTTTTTGCAGCTTGGTTATCGAAGATAACCTAAAAATTACATAACTAAATTTATTAGTGAAGCTTAAGCAAGTAGTATTTAAGCATTTTTCTGCATTTTTTTAACTTTTTATTTTGCAGCATTTTGCCCATAAGTTAAAAAAACCCCGCTAAAACTGATTTCGGTTTTCCCTATATAATATTATTATCTATAATTTTTGAATATCCAAAAGCACCATGACTCTAAAGGAAAAAAAGGAATAAATTAATATGGAGAAAAATATGAAAAATAAATATGAAAAATTATGCAAATAAATAATACAAATAAATAAAGAAAAAGAAGTAAATAAAAATTGATGATAATTTTTGCTTCTCCATATTTATTACAACATAATAATACTGAAAATAGATTATTAAAAATTTTAGCAAAAAAAAAAAAATACTCAAGATAAAAACACTTTTTTCAGCACTTTAGTTAACAAATAAAAAGTATTTAACAATCAAATATACCTGCATCCCCAAGAAACAGTTCCATTAGGATAAATGTCAACCTTATGACTAGCGGTTGAATTTGAGTGTATATATCCACCTGTCATTACACGAAACACAGTATCTGGCACCCAAATAAATGCTGAAGGGTGATTTTTTCCAAACCCTGGTGTTAAAACAGTAGTTAAATTATGCTGTGCTCGGTAGTCAACCCATCTCTGTCGAAAATACATGTCTGTTTTAAAGCTCTAAAGAATATTTATTATATTAGTTATTATATTGTTTGAGACCTGACTTGTTAGGATTTGGAACTGAGTCATTTCAACATTTTTTAAAAGACTTTTTATTACTAATTATATAATAAAAAAAAACTTTGTATTTGAATTACGCAAAAATGATGGTAAAAAGCAGGGATGGTAACAAAAATTTCTTTAGAACTAAGTCTTAAGCAAAAGTTTTAATGTTCATACTTTTTTTTCTAAAGACTAAAAATGTTGATTATTTTTACTTCTTCAGCTTAAATAGTTGAAAAAATGAATGTGCACATTTTTTTAGATCAGAAATAAAAAGGCTTAAATTCAAACAATAATGGTTAATCAATGAATTCCCACTATAATTGTTTTATCAAATGTAAACACTTTAAATACACATGGTCAATCAGCAAGGCAATTAATGATGGTTGAGTGATGATTAAAATACACAGGGGCAATCGACAAGATACTGATGTCAAATGATGGGTTACTACTATGTTTTATCAAATGAATGAAATGTTTTATCAAAATATAACTAATATAAATTATAAAAATAAAACTAATATATACCAAATGTAACTTTAAAGATAGTTTAAACAACATTAAATTTTGAAATAAAAATAACTTTTTTTGTAATTGAGATTTATTTCATGATATTAGCAGGATGTAGATGGCATTATCTATATAAAATTTTTTTTTTAATGTTAAAAAAACTCCTTAAAGTTGAGAAGACCACTTCAGTCAAGGAAGCTGCTTCATTTGTGGTTACAACCCTCTTTCAACTCTATAACTTCAAAACATGAACATTGAACAAAGGCCACCCTGCAAAACCAGGGTACGAGGTGGGGATTGAACTCTGTACTTCTTGCTTATGAAGCAAATGCTCTACTAATACACCGCATTGTAACAAATGTATAAACTATACAACATTATTATTTACGTATTTTAACAACTTATGCCTTTTACTGATTTGCTCATCTTAAATTTACATAGTGTAAATCACCTTTAATCCAAATCAAAAATCACAGTTTTATAACTAAATAATTTTGAAACCAAAATATTTTTTTTTCTTTAAGATGGCATGCCAAAACCAATATATATATTTTTTCTCTTTGAAAAAAAAATGTATGGATTTAGCTTTGCAAAAAATGTTAAAATATATATATATATATATATATATATATATATATGTATATATATATATATATATATATATATATATATATATATATATATATATATATGTATATATATATATATATATATATATATATATGCAAAAAATGTTAAAAATTGTATAGATTTTAAACAAATACCCTTTAAAATCAAGTTTTTCAATTATTTTAGCATTAAAAACGAAAAATATATTTGTTACAACAAAAACGACAATGAAGTTTTTGATCTTTCCTTAAAAAATGCCTGTTACCCTAGTTTATGGAGCTACTGATATTATTTCTATTAAACACAAATATTAGGAAAAGATTTGTAAGGTTTAAAAACTTAAACATACCTTATCTTTATCATTAACGCTGTCGAATTGCAAAATTGTTAAGGAAACTATTACATCTGTCACATTTCCTAAAAAAGAAACTATTACATCTGTCACATTTCCTAAAAACCTAAAAACTTTTAAAAACTATAAAAATATATACTATATCAGCACTTAAATAACCTGTGAAGTTAGGACGCAATAAAGGATTGTATGCTTGTTTTATTTTAGACCATGCCTCTGATACTTTCTTATCCCCTAAACTAAGAAAAAAAAAGACAAAATCTACACAAAAATAGTATTAGAATTATTCAAAAACAAAAGATATAGGTAGTGTTGTACTATTATACATTATTAGATTTCCTCATTTGCTTAAATCTAAGAAATTATGACACATTGAAAATTGGTTCTGGCTGCAATACGAAGTATTAAACATTTAACAAATATTTAACATTCTTTTGGTGATACTTTTGATTAAAATCAAATCTGATTGGTCCCAAGCCCTGATTATTATAAAAACTTTTCAATAGTTTTTGCCATAAGTTTTTGAAAGCCATAGATGCAATATCATAGATGCAATTACCATAATCTTTAATTCATAAATTAATAACTGAAAAATAATTTTTTTATTATATTATGTTAAATAAAACTAAAATAATGCTAAAATTTATCAATAAAATTTATCATAATTCATAAAATAATTTTTCAGCAAGTAATATTACTAAAACTGTTTTATAAATATCAACATGTTGATTAAATTAAAAAAAATTAAAACATTATGACAATTGCCTTAATAAAATAAGCAATTAGTTAAAACATAAAAAAAATTATTTAAAAATGATTTGTTGCATTTGAAGCGATATGATATTTTGAAACATCTGGTTGTTGAAAACAACTTTTTCCAGACCAATATGTAGTGCCTATTTTATTTTTAATAAACAAGATGCCTCACCTGTATCTAAAATAGATACATGTATTAAATTGTATCTCTATTTTAAAAAAAAAACTTTAAAAAAAAAAACTGGAGGTTTTGTGAAGTGTAAAAGTAATACATTGTCCATATTACCTCTCTAATATTCTCAACTTTTTTTTACTGCAACTTATACAACATATAATGAATCAAGTCAGCATTAATACCGCCATAAAAACCTAGATACTGATGAAATGTAATCTAGTTCATATTTTTTTAAAGATTTGTAGATTAAGAACTATAAGAAAATAGCTCTGACGCAAAATACTACCATGAGCTTTTAGGCTCTTTGACAAGTAAAAATTGATGAATATTTTTATAGAGATTTTATCTCAATAAAAATATTCATCTTGGGCATATGTTAACTTCCACAACGAATAAAAGGGTAAGACACAAAATTTCTGTTTCTTCATTGAATTTGATTCTTTATAATAAGCTCTAAAACTCAGTTTAATGATTCTGAGGCCAGCTAGTATCAAGACTTTAGAGAAAATTTAACAGATTTTATTAATAGTTGGAAATGCTGTACTATTTATACACTCTTTATAATCAAGTCAAGTACTCTATTAATTCAAAACAAAAAATAGAGTACTAACAAAAAAAGAAAAAAAACCATTGCCATCAAATTGTTTTAACCTATCTTTTACAAACATTTGAGATCTTTAAATTATTTTTTTACCTGTTGAGTTCTCCCTTTTGTAAAATTCACCAGATCTACTTGATATTTGAAAAACTAATTCAAATTTACCTGTTTCTTTTGCGATCTTAGTATTGATGACTATTATTTTTTGATTTGTCTCTAATTGTCACATAGAATCACATATGCATGCACACGAGCATTACAGATAACCAATTCATCTAATTGTTAATTGAAATAAGATTTCAATCTTCAGACTATTTTTTTTTTCTGTATTTTTACTCTTCACCTAATTGATTATCAATTATCTCTTATTTTTCTCTTTCTTACCTTTATTATGCCTAATAAAAAAACTTATTTGTGTTTTTTTCTCTGACACTAGCTTGTGCTCAGTTTTCATCTTGTTAACCTTTTAATGGTTTAGATCATGCTATGATTTCACTAAAACTTTTACTTTGAACTTCTTATTTATCAGATTAACTGTATCATTTCCCTTCATAATACTCAGTTTGAAGTCAAGTTTCTATCTACATCACTGTTTTCTACTTGTGCAACAGATATTTTAAACAGTAATTATTTTTTTCATTTTATCCATTTGAGAAACTAAAGAATAAACATTTTGTCAAAAAACCAATGCACAAATGTATTGTTTGTTGTTAATTAATTCTCAAATAATTTAAGTGCTCATACAACGAAGTCCATTATCTTATTCAATCAAGATAGTGGATATTGTTGTAATGAGCACTTTTTAACTGAAGTACTTTTTAATTGGTGTATTGAAGATTTCTATAACTTTTTTTATATTATAGATTTTTGTAGAAGACGTTGTTTCCTGTATAAATTCAATTTTTTTCTGTTGTTGTTTTTGGAACAAGTTTCTGTTTAGTTAACCTTTTTTTTTTTTTCGTTTATTAATTATGTTAACTTTTTGTTTTTGTTTTTATTTGGAACTGGTTTTTAAATTTTTTTTTCCTGTAATCACTTTCTCTGTTAAAAACACTTCCGCAAAAGTGGAAGAATAGTTGCAGAACGCAAAATTAAAGATTATCCTGCACAGAATTATGGGAGGGTTCTGGTCAATGTTTGAAATAAAAATGAACAAACTTCATTTTTATTACCATTTTAATAAGTTTTAAAACATGTTAGTTCTATTTACTCACCTTTTTTTTGGGGGAAGGGGGAAGAGAGTTGAGTGGGATAAGGGGTGATGGCACTGTATATTCGGGTGTTGCATACTTTATGATTTTTTGAAAATAAAGTTTTTCCTAAAACCCGGTATATAGAAAACTTGTGTACAACTATTTTAACATTAAATCAAAAAAAACTAAAAATAGTTTATGTTAAGCTACCGGGAAGTATGTTTTAAAATTATATATTTATGCTCAATTTTTCGTAATTAGCTTTGACCCTAACCACAGATACTGTTTAGCGTCCACGCATTTTTATACACCATGAATTGTTTACACCCACCCACGTTGAATTCTATTTGATATCAAAACTATATAAAATTGCCAATTTATAAATTGTTAACATCTAATTTGTATGTTAAATGTTAGAAAATATTATTAAAAATTTTAAAAATGAAAAAATTTACGCAAAAAGTATGCAAATTATGAACTTTGATATTTAATCATGGCAGAGTCAATATCTTCAAGAACTAGAAAAATAAGCGGATCAAAGCTTTTGGAATATATAGGTTCTAGAACAGATATTCTTGTATCGGAATTACCAACACTAAAAGATCTTCTTAGATATGGTCTGTTTTTGCAAGAAAAAAACAATAAAAACAAAAGAAATTATCCGATTAAAGCACTAATAAACGATGTTTGATTGGTAAATGGATACACGTCAATGCTTTATTTGTATATCCTGTAACACATATTGAACATTATATTACTGCAACACTGGTGAAGGAATGGAATGCGGCCAACCTGGTTGCTAGAAGAAAAGCAAGCTTAAAGAATAAAGATAGATTTTTGGCAAAACTTGACAAAATGTTTGATATACTGAATTGTAATTGCCAAATTATTACTTGTCAAGAGAAAAATTGTTTTTCAGAATGTAACGATGAAGCCTATATTAACTGTATGTGCGAAAAGAAGAAAAAGATTCCAAAGAAAGAGTTAGTTTTTATACTTGGGCAAAGAGCTAAAATAGGGACTACCGGTCTGCATCAAATTGGATTAGCTAACTTGAAAGTAAACAAAAAGCTACATAAAATTGGAGAAAGAAGATTGAAGTAAGAAGTAAGATTTTTTTATTTAGTTATTTTTTTAATTAGTAATTAGTTAATAAAGAAAAATTAATTAAACTCCAAAGTTAAATTAATTTTAGTTATATACATTCAGTTATATGCCTTTTTCAACTTACAAATATATCTGCCTGTTTCAACTTACAAATAACAAAATCTAATTAAACTCAAAATGAAATTTAAACATACGACTATTTATATTTTACTTATATTAGGAAATGTATTAACAATATTTTACAAAACATCAATTAATGAAAATTCAATTTTATCCATAGCTAAAGCAAGAAGCGTTTGAAAAACTGCAACAAACAATTAGAAGTCAGGAAAAAAAGTTTGAATGTGAATTTAGCGAAACGTATGAACTATTAAGTAATGAATGTTTCACAATAAACAGCAATACCAAAATCAATCTAATGTGCCAACAGAATGAAGATCAGGAACGTTTACGAGGACAAAGGAATTGTAAAAGTATTTCCAACATAGCATTAGCAAGCATACGGTATGGTACAGGCTTACGGAAAACAGCTGCAATTGCAACGGCAGCTTGGATGGACACAGGAATAGTTTAAGAAGATGATACCAAGTTGGTTATTGACCACAGCAAAGTTAAGAGAGCTCAAGAAAATCATATGCAGTCTCTTTCTGGAGAGTTTGATACTCAGGTCTATCATTATTGATTGTCTTTTTTTTGATGGCAGAATTTATAATACAAAAGTTCAATTAGTATTCGAAGGTTCGTCTAAATGTTATCCTGCTACATTCAAAGAGGAACATCATACAGTATTTCAAGAGCCCGGTGGTAAGTATCTTTTTCATTTCATACCTGAAAAAGTTCAATAACATATGAAACACGCTGAAATGATTGCTCAGAATATATACGAATTTTTCAAAAGTAATGGTGCTGATAAAAGCTTAACAGCGATCGGTTGTGATTCTCCTAGTTTTAACACAGGGTGGTCAGGCGGAGCAATATCAAGAAAGAAAACTGGCTGGTTTGCGCACTCCATACTAATGAACTTCCTCTGCGTCATCTGATAACAACTCTTGATGGAGAGACTCTGAGCAGCCTTTAATGGAGACGTATTTTCGACATCAAAAAATTGATGTCGAAAATACGTCTAAAATACGTCTATTACTCTAAAGGATGAAGTAATCAAAAACTTATCCTCCGATCAGTTTTATGGGTATAAAAAAAAATAAAGTAAAAATAAAGTCTCTGCTATTAGAAGTGGAAATATACCCGCAGACTTGGCTTTACTTGAAATTGGGTCATTTAATTATTCAAGATGGTTGACAACAACCAACAGATTTTGCAGAGGTTATGTCTCAAAACATGAGTTGGAAGGCGAAAATTTAAAAAACCTTAAATTAAGAATTGAGTTCATTGTTGAATTTTACATGCCTATGTGGTTTAAAATTAAAGTCAATAACAGGTTTATTGAAGGACCGAGACATATTCTTTACCAGATTAGCCTTCTGAAACACGAATCAAGTAAAGTAGTAGAAATTGTTATGCCAACAGTTAGACGTTCAGCATGGTATACTTTCTCTGAGTACATCATACAGACCATGCTCTGCTCAGAGAATGTAGAGGAAAGAAAGAACGGTATAGAGTTAATTGTAAAAATCAGAGGTCTTGGTGATGAAAAACTTTAAACTGGTGATAAAAATGTGAGAGGTAGAATAACTCCAGAAATAAAACCTGATGCAACAACACTTATACAGCTAATCGACTGGTATATATTCTA